TGAACCTGTGCTCTAGAGCCAATGAGCCACAACTACTGAGCCCACGTGCCACAACTACTGAAGCCCACATGCCTAGAGCCCGTACTCCACACCAAGAGAAGCCACTGCAATGAGAAGCCCGCACACCGCAACGAAGAGTAGCCCTGCTCACTGCAACTAGAGAAAGCCTGTGCACAGCAATGAAGACCCAACGCAGGCAAAAATAAATAAATTAATAAATTAATTTAAAAAACAAAACAAAACAACTCCATCCTTTACTCCAAGTCTGCATTTAATGGACCCTGCACAAGTGACCTCAAATTTCTCTATCTATAAACTGGGATGATGACTACTTCACAGGGTGGTTATAAACATTCATTTATTCAACAAATATTTATTGAGAACTACTGTGAAGATCCCATGAGATTAATAAGTAATGTCTGCCACATGGTAACACTAGTAAAAGGTAGCATCCCTGTGATATCAAAAATATTTCTTAAAAGCATTGAATCTGTTTGGAAAAACTGTCTGGAACATGGAAGAGAATTTGCTTAAACACAGGAAGCTATAATATATATGGTAGCAAGGGAGAATAGTTTCAAAAAGACAACAAAGTAAGGAAGCAAACTGCCCCTCTCTTGCTTAGTCATATTCGCCCTGCTTACCCCCTCCCACTACTCCTGCCTGGACCCTTGCTGATGAACATAAAGGATTCACTGAATTAGCAGGACCTAAAGTAAACACACAGAAATCAACAGCCTTTATATATATATACAAACTATAGATGGTTAAAATCATAACCATCTAAAGCAACAAAGAAGATTGAACTTAACAAGAAATATACAAAACCCTGACAAGGAAATTTTGTAAAACTCTCCTGGAAAACAGAAGGAGGCTTTAGCAAATGGGAGATGCTCCCTGCCTGGGTAGGATGCACCCACATTCTTAAGACATCAGTTCTCCCCAGGTTAAGAGTTCACAGTTCCCAATAAATATAACAAGCAGCTATTTTGCGGAGCTTGACAAGCTGCTACTGAAGTTCGCATGGAAAATAAATATGCCAGAAGAGCCAGGGAAAACACTGAAAGGAGAGCTATGAGGGGTCCTGCCCCCCGACACTCCAACCTCCTCTGGGCCTCTCTAAGTAAAAGGTGAGGGTCGAGGCCCAGAGAGACGAGCAGGCCAGGGAGCTACTACAGAGTCCAGAATTAGGTCCAAACACGTTTCCTGGCTTTTTGGAGAACAGTGTTCACACAGTCATAATGTTACGAACACTGATTTTATTTCATTAGAAACTGTGCAAACTTCAAGAGTGTGGTGAGGACGCTGAGGCTGGGTGAGAGGTACACGTGGTCATCAGAAGAGTCTCTCCACTTTATGTTCATTTCCTTTTGTTTGCTTTCAAAGAACTTTCAATGGTAAATTCCCAATAAAAAAGAACTGAAAGTGTAAATTTATAACCATACTAGATGGTCGCGTGGAAGTGATGTGTATAAAAGCACTAAAGCCACACCAGGAAGTCAATAAAAACACCCCAAGTTGATAAATCAGTAAAAAGCAGCATACACATATTGTTCTAAAATATGGGCATATCTACCCAAAAAACACAGCTAAAAGGCTTTACCTCTAGGTAGGGATTATGTTCTGACTTTCAAAAAATAAGGTGTATGTTTGTTATTTTGATAAAGTTCTCAAACTTTGTTTAAAATGCTAAATTTAAAACAAAAAACAAAAAAAACCCAACCCAGTGCCATGATATCACTTGAAGAAAACAGTGGTGAGAACAAGAAACATGAACGGCGAGGAAACTATGTTTGAAGCATCATGGCTCCCGCTGTGGGCCTGCCACCTGGTGCAGGGCTCAGCACACAGTGACGGGTGCTGCTCAGGAAGCATCCGCTGAAGTTGTGTCTAAAGAAGAACAGGGAGGTGGAGGGAGCAGAGATGGAAAGCAGACACAGAGGCCTGAGGATGACCTGCGGCCTACGTTTAAGAGAGCCGTCCTGGGGCTTCCCTGGTGGTGCAGTGGTTGAGAGTCCGCCTGCCGATGCAGGGGACACGGGTTCGTGCCCCAGTCCGGGAAGATCCCACATGCCGCGGAGCGACTGGGCCCATGAGCCATGGCCGCTGAGCCTGCGCGTCCGGAGCCTGTGCTCCGCAATGCGAGAGGCCAGAACAGTGAGAGGCCCGCATACCGCAAAAAAAAAAAAAAAAAAA